TTTTTGACGCAGACCGCCCGACTTGATTGGCCAAGATGCGACGTCCGGTTGCCAGACACTTTGTCCAGTTTAATTTCCGAAGGGGCCGGTAATATACTGCGGACTTCCTCGCACTTACAAAGAAACCTTGAGTCGTATGCTCGATATGATGTATGATGGGCGCTAAAGTGAGAATTTCCTTCCTTTCCTCTAATTGGCTTACACAGTGTGACCCAATTCAAACCCAAAAATGAGCAATGTATGTATTTATTGACTAATTTGATTCGAGGTATTTTTCAAAGATTGAGTTTAAAAATTTGTATTACATTTTATGACATATGAATTCATTTACAGTTATCATAGCCCAGTTCTGGTGGCAAAAATTGGTTAGCAATTTTTTTTTGTTTAAAATCTGACTACTGGAATCTGCATCTCTTCAATGTTGTTTGTACAAAATTTCGTGAAAACATATTCAGTGCATGATGTTATTAGTAAACATTTTATTTGTTTATTTGTACATTGAGGGGGTATGGAATCCAGTGGTGTAACTAAGATTTTAACTAAGAAAATCGCCTGCCAATTTTTGTCAAATTTGACACAAAAGAAAATAAAAGTAGGCTTTCATAACTGAAAATAAATTCAAATCATATGCGATTCAATAAAACGAGAATTAAATAAATCAATAAATATATTTTTTACCAGGGTGTTCCGTTTGAAGTGGACCACACTGTATACAGGGATTACGGATATGAATCTCGGCGATGTCGTTACTTAGGTTTAGTAGCGTAAACCTTGCTTTTTAGATATCTCCAAGTGCTTCCGAATAGGTGGATTGGAAGAAAGGGTCTAATTGAGTGGCCAGCAAGATCATCCGATCTTACAAGAACCAGGGATGAAATTAGGCAATGCCGGACGTGTCACAAATTGTTAGGAATGGTTTTTATTATGAAAAATGGTATTTGGAGTATAAGTGGTTGTGTGGAAGTGTTTATTTAAAAAAACTTTTCTGTATGCCGTGTTTAATTGTGGGTGTAAAGTCGGGCGTGCGGAATAAGAAAGGATTTAACAATTTTGGGAACGCCATGCGAGGCTGTCGTAATCACAAAGCTTCTTTGGAAGCCGAACTAATAGTCCAATTAAATGGGCCTTTAAATCGCAATTTTGGTCAACTTGCCTGAATTTTTGATATAAGTTAGTTTGAGGTAATATAAGAACAATAAGTGACATTAATTTTTTCTTCAACCCTCGGCCAAAGATGAAAAAAGATAAAATAAAGGGGTTTTTCAAGTTAACTCAAAAGGGGTAAAAGCTAGAAAAAGAAGTTTCTTATAAAAGTTGTAGAGCATAAAATTCTACATTCACAAAATGGTGTATTGACTTTTTCTTGTACTATTAAAATTAACAGAGTTAGGGAGACTAGAAGTTACGGGATGATTTCAGAAATTTAAAAAATCATAACAAGTAGAAAAATGAATGAATTTTATATATTTTTTTCCAATTTACTCTTAAAAATACAACCTATCTTTTCAAAGAAATAGATATATTTTTTAATTTATAATAAACAATTTCACAAAGCGAACGTGATTTTTTGTCATAAAACAACATTTCGAAAGCAACTTTTTTTTTATTTTAAATAATCGATCGAATGGCATAGAAAAAAATTGTGTTAAATCATAAAAATTAACGATTAAAAAATTTTGTTTTAACTTTTTTATTAAAAATTATTAAAATATGTATATATCTATTTCTCTGAACAGAAAGTTTACATTTTTTAGAGTAGATTGAAAAAAAAATTATGAAATTTATTCATTTTTCTGCTTGTTATGATTTTTTTAAATTTCTGAAATCATCCCATAACTTCTAGTCTCCCTAACTCTGTTAATTCTAATGGTATAAGAAAAAGTCAATATACCATTTTTATGTAGAATTTTATGCGAAACTTTTTTTTCTAGCTCTTACCCCTTTTGAGTTAAAAACCCCTTTATTTTATCAAAATTACTGCCACTTATTGTTATTATATACCCTAAACTAACTTATATCAAAAATTCAGGCAAGTTGGCCAAATTGCGATTTAATGCCTCATTTAATTGAACTATAATATTTCTATTTTTTATAAAATCTAAATAATGAAAATCCTCACGAACGTCAGTTTTTCGGTAATACCTATTGCATATGTAACTAAAAATTTCCATATTTATAACCGTTTGACCTTGAAAATTTTCGCCTGCGTCACTTTTTTTTTTCTTTTTAGTCAATCAATAAATATGCTTCACCTATTTTCAATATCACGAGCCGCCACTGCATTGCTTATAAAATGTAACAAAACAATAAATAATTGTATTTATAATTGAAAAAGCTTTAAATAAAAAAATTAATCTGCCCTTCCATTTAAAAAAAATTTGGGAGTTGCTGCAAGCCCCCACATAATTAAAAAAATAAACAGATCTCTTAATATGCCCCACTAAAAATAAAAATTGACGTGTTTCAGGAATTTTTGTGACAAACCTTTATTTATTAAGATACAGAATTTGTTTCAGTTAAACTTTCCCACCAGGGCTAGGCTCTATCCCTTACTGAAAGGTGGAAACACCCTCAGTTTAAGGAATAAGCGAACGCTTATCAAGGTGGTACTTCAACCGCAGCTAACCTACGCCTCCACGGCGTGGGGTCACGCGGCAAAAAGCCACTTAAAGTCATTACAGGCTGTGGAAAACATAGCCCTCCGCACGGCCACCGACGCGCCCTGGTACGTAAGAAACACTGACATATTACGAGNCACTAAACAAGAATATGAAGTCGGAAAATGAAAATTCAAAATGGCTGATCCAATATGGTAGACTATTTTTAATAATTATTTAATAACAATTGATTTTAAATCAAACTCGCTTATATTTGTAAAATAGGGGTTTTTGACGTCGCTAAACAAGAATATGATGTCAACAAATGAAAATTCAAAATGGCTGATCCAATATGGCCGACAATTTTAAACAATTTATTTAACAATTATCGATTTTAAATCAAACTCGCTCATATTTGTAATAAAGAGGTTCGAAAAGTGAAAATTATAAATGGCTAAACAGAATTTTATTGAAAATATGTTTTATTTTTTAAAAAACAAATTTATTACAAAACAATTAATTTTTAAATCTCATCGAGTTCTTGCTCTTTTTCAAAAATAACCGGGCAATTAAATTTTAAGCCAATGAAATTGAAAAAAAAAACTGATTTTAAATACAAAATTACAAAATCAAAATCAACGTCCCCTATTATTTATTTGTTCATTAATTATTTTAAAAATTGATCAATATTCATAATAAATATTACGCTCATACATTTACAGGTTTAGCATAAAAGAAAACGAATATAAATACCTTAAATGCAAACTGAAAATTATTTGTAATATAAATAATATTACATTAAAGAATTACAAGTGTACGAGAGTATAACCTCAAAATGGACAAAATGGACACTGATAACTGCGGCTTACTCGAAAACATAAAAATCATATTCTTATACCATTTATAATAATTATTATTATTTAATTCTTATGAACGAAAAACGCATTTAAACAAATAAAACTGTAAGTAATAATCAAATCAAAAGTATACGGTTCCATTTAAAATTTTCAACTTGACCTCTAAATGACCTTCAAGGTCATGATCAAGGTCACCGTTGGATTGCTCACTCCAAACCATGCAACTTTTGTCCTGATCATTTTTTGTTTCAGCAATATTTTCTGAGATAGAGGAGGGGTTCCAAATTTTTTGGACACCCTGTATATATATATTAGACTCGTATCTGTGTCTACATCAATAAGAGAACTTATATTTACAATTTTAGATATAGAATATACGTTTTAAAAATGAACATTAAATCAATTCATCAAAAAACGTTATTTTTTGCTGTTATAACAATTTTCCACTTTTACTAGGTCTTAACTTAATTCTTTGATGGTTTATTACACAAATAAAATTTTTTTTGTACATTATTAAACTATATTTAACAATAAATTTCACGGATTTTTTATGAAATATTTTAATTTTTTGTTATTTTTTGTTTTTTCAACTATTATTTCAATTTTTTAAGAAAAATAAAATGCACCATCTTAAAGTAGAGATTTTAAGCTTTAAAAAGTGTTCTCATAAAGTTTCAATATCATATTTACAACTATAATTTTATATATATAAAGTATGGCCTAAAAAGTTAAATTTGTGATTTTTTAAAATTATTGAATATGTTGGGCTCAATATTTTTCAAATTAAATTTTTAAGATTTTTTCCATATCGCTCACTGTTTCAATCGTCATTTGAAGAGTAATCTATTAAAGTTACAGATATTTATTTTAAAAATTAAAAGAATGACAGCTATTTTATTATTATTGTATAAAATTATAGAATGACGTATCTTTGTATACGTACTATATATTATTTTTTCCTCAAGTTTAAAGACATAAAATTTTGATAGCCGGACGACTCTTCTTTCATTGAAATTTTTGTGAGGTGGATTTGATCAATTAGATTAAAAGTTATAACAAATTTAGTGCAGCGCGCTCGGGGCCGCGCGCTTTTCGAGAGCTATACTTGGGGACCGCCCGTCTCATTTTTCGTACGTTAGAAAAAAAATTCTACACCTCTCAACTCGCATTTTAGAAAAAAACTTTATTAACATTTTTTTATGTAAAATTTCCTGTTCTTTCGAATGGCGCACTTAATTTTTTTTTAAATTATATATTTTTTATATATTTTGCAAAAACTGTAATTATGCAAATAATTTGTTAAATAAATAATTTAGCTGACAACTTTACAAAGCGAAAAATAAAAAGTTCTCCCTTCCAGTAATTTTCGCGAAGTCAAAATCTATCTTGACTCCACTAAGCTGTGAACAGTAAAAAGTTTCCGACCTATATTACTCGTGGTTCTTTATAAAACGGTGTTTTGTCATTACTCTTTGCTTTAACTTTTTACGTCGGAAACATTTTTACACCCTCAACTGTACGAGCACACGGTAATGGAATCACTCACCCTGGTCATGGCCTCGGTTTCCCTCTCCCTGGGAAACTTCTTGTTGGCGATGAACTTGATGCTGTTCTTCTCCAAGTCGTCCTGCATCAGAGAGATGTACTCGGTGTACTTCTGCCCGTCCTCGGTCAGCGCCGCCACCCTCTTCCACCCGAAGTACTTGAACAGGTACAGGTAGACGTGCTGGTAGTGCTTGTTCTCGCCGATGGTCCTGAAGAAGTAGGGGTACTTCTGCCTGTCGGAGAAGCTCGCGCCCTCCGCGCTGTACGAGATCACCATGATGTGGTAGTGCCTGGACACCCCGGCCAGAGGCTCCACCGTCTCCGAGCAGGCGGGACCGAGCACACCCACCAGCTGGGGATAGTAGCCCTCCACGATAAAATCGATGAAGTGCCTCATGACGCTGTCCGCCTTGCACTGGCCATCCTGCACGATCAGGTTGAGGTTGTAGTCGACGAGGATGGTCTTGTTTCTGTTGATGGCGTCGCGGGCCATGGTGGCGCCGGCCACTATGCCTGCACCAACAAAAAATGCCTCGTGTTATGTTGTAGTCCTTTGTATGCCTCGAAAAATTTCGGGGACTCAGAAATACCTCTATAATTTCTAAATATTCGAAATACGTCTTAAATTTTCAAATACTTCGGAATACATATCTCAAAAACTTCTAAATATTTCTAAATGCTTTGAAATACGTCGAAATATTTTCACTACCTTTAGAAAGACGGGCGAGTCCATGAAATTTTTTTCGAGGAGAAAATTAAAAAAAAATAAATAGAATAAAAGCAATCAGGCCGAGTATGTATCCTATTTTATCATAATAACAGTTATGTTATTTCAGGGTTGTTAACGTTAACTGTTAAATATAACGTGCATGTTATTAAGGAATTAAGACCATTTTTTAGCAAATATCGTACTGCAATTTTGTTGTTTTTTTTAAGACGCTTTTGTGTCGACATTTTTAATAATAATTATGCAAAATTATTATAAACAAGAGTCAGTATTACACAAAAATACATATAACTGACAGATGTCTTGAAACAAATGCAAACTCGTACGAAATAACGGGTACGTACGACATAAAATAGTTTGTAACACGTTACCTTAAATTATAACAGTTTCTTAAAGGCAAGGAATTTGGTGTTGCTATAGTTTAACGTACGTGTTATTTGTGTAATGAAAATGAACGGCTTGTTAAATTTACATATACTTGCAGGTTTTATAAACGCACATCGAAGGTAAATTGTAAAATGTAAGTAACTTAGGTAAGTATTTACCCTAAAATTATTGTTAGGTTAATTCAAACGAAGAAGGATCTAACAAGGAAACTACCAACCCGAACTCTCTGATTTCCAATATTTTTATATATGTTGTAGAGTCGGTTGTAAAACTAAAAAATTAAATGACATATTTTTTTTATCGGCGGAAAAACATATTTAGGGGGGTGAAATACATCCTCAAAGTTCGCTCCCCAAAAGAGTTTTTTCTAAATATCTGGGGTTCTAATCAATATTTTGGAATGAAAACCAATGGAAATTGTTTCTTATAAAAAAACAAATGTTTCATATTAGATTCCGTGTTTGGAGGTTGCTACCCTTATTTTTTATTTCAGAAAAATTATATTTTTTTTATATAAAAAAAATCATATATTTGTTAAAAAAAAATAATAATGTAAACAAATTGACAAAATTAAGTTCTTTTTAGGGGGTGAACAACCCTCTAGTGTGCTAAAAATGTCTGTACGATTACAATTAACATTCCAAAATTAAACAGTTTTTACTTTTTCTCTAATCATACGAATAATTTGTTCTACCCCTCATGTTCACCCCCAAAAACAGTATTTCTGTGACATCTTAATATTTTGAAATGAAATAAAATGGAAATTACTTCTTTTAAAAGAAAATGTTTCACAAGTGATTCCGTGTTTGAGGGTTGCAACCCTTATTTTTTATTTCAGGAAAACCAAGTATATTTTCAAACATTTTTTATATATAAAAAATTCATATTGATATTAAAAATATGATTTATGTAAACAAATTGACAAAAATAATTTCTCATTTTAGGGGGCGAACAACCCCCTAGTAATCCCCTAGTCTGCGAAAAATGTCTTTACTTTTTCTCTAATCATACGAATAATTTTTTCTCTTGGTCTAAAATGGATTTAAACAGATGCAAACTACCCCTGATGTTCACCCTCAAAAACAGTAATCCGTGATATCTCGGGTTCTAATAAATATTTTGGAATGAAACAAAATGGAAATTACCGAACCCGTTTTTTGGGGGATGAACAGCAGGGGTAGTTTGCATCAGTTTAAATCCGTTTTAGACCAATAAAAAAAATTATTTGTGAATTATTTGTTTTTTTTTATAAGAATAATTTCCATTTCGTTTCATTCCAAAATATTGATTAGAACCCGAGATGTCACAGAAATACTGTTTTTGGGGGTGAACATGAGAGGTAGTTGGCATCCGTTTAAATCCGTTTGAGGCTAATAGAACAAATTATTCGTATGATTAGAGGAAAAGTAAAAACTTTTATTTTGTAATGTTAATTCTAATCGTATAGACATTTTTCGAGAACTTAATTTTGCCAATTTGTTTACATAAGTTTATTTTTAATTCTTTTTTAACAAATAAGAATTTTTTATATATTAAAAATGTTTGAAAAATATAGTTTTTTTGAAATAAAAAATAAGGGTAGCAACCCCCAAACACGAAATCACTAATGAAACATCTGTTTTTTTTTAAAAGAAGTATTGTTGCATTTTGTTTTGTTCCAAAATATTGATGAGAACCCCAAATATTTAGAAAAAACTGACTAGGGGGCATACTTTGAGGCTGTATTTCACCGACATATTATTTGATAATTCAAAATTATTTTATAAGAAGGGAACAATTTGGGATACATTAAGTTTCATGTTAGATAGCACATGAAATTTGTATTTTTTCTTTTTTTTCCAATAAGAGGTGGTTTTCACCCCTTAAGAACAAAAAACACACCTAGCGCATATATAAGTTTTGAAGTGGGTGGGTAAGATGAGTCTAATTCTAAATTTTGAGAAAAATCGATGCAGTTATAAAAAATTCAGAGGTACCTATATTTTCAGCTACAGTAACTGGGCAATTTGTTAAAAAGGACAACTTAATTTGACTTTTTGAAATTTTTCTTTTGCGACACGTTTCTTTGGATCAATTAGAACGTATATTTACGATATCAACTTCTAAAATTAAAGTTTAGTAATTAAACAATTAGTTGCAAAAAAAAAACAAACGAAATTAATTAACAAGTATCTGGAGCAACAAATTCACCACCAATTGAATCGGCCATTGGTACACACGTTGGTCTTTGAATTGACCGTCTTTACCACAAATTTCATCAACATCCATCGCTTTTTGCAATAATAATGCGCAATTTTCGAAAACTGATTTTTCCGCGTTCGACCTTTACTTTACAGTTAACAAATTAGTGAAAAATAATTGTAGTACATGAAATTGTAGGTAATTTAATTGCCTACAACACAAAATAACTAATTCTCCGATATATCGTCTAGATTTTCATGGGCTGAAAAAAAGTGAAAAGATACCCTTCCCGTCATAAAGTGCAATAAAATGCCTACTAATAATTTTTTCAAGTTTTCAAGTTTTATGATCGAATTCGATTGGAGTATGAACGAGTTACATATGTAATTTGGTACTACAACTCACGTTTTAATTTTTTTTCCGCATACCATGAAGGAAATTTATGAAGAGAACTGCAACTGCATCGCTAGATAACAAAGAAAAATATAAACATTTGCCATTTCCAACGTACCTATTCCGTTATACGAAGCGGCAGTCACAGGGAATATTCCGCCAATGTGGATGACCGTAGGACTCTCCTTCTTCCACCACTTCCACACCTTGGGGTTCTTCCGCATCCACTGGCAGGCGATCTCCCGCAGCGACTGACCAGGATTGTCGTTGTGCAGATTCAGCATGTAAACGTAGTCTTCTTCTCTCAGCTTGAAACTCCTGAGGCTCTCATACAGGGGCTTGGCGATCTTCTCGACCTTGCTCCACGCCAGCTTCACCAGACGGTGCATCTCGTATTTGTAGCCCACGTTCTCGTCGCGGGTGAAGTTCATGATCTCGTTGTTGGTGAACACCACGGAGATGAACTGCTTCTGATCGACGACGATGTCGCTGGGGAACCAGTTGAAGAACACGATGCTCTGGGTGGTCTTTTCTAAAGAGTAAATTTGGCGCAGTTCCTTCACCACCATCTTCAGGTTGTCTCCCAGCCACAGGACCTTCACCAACAGCTTCATCTCCTGGATCTGGTCAATGAGGAAGGAGCTGACCTCGAATTGGGGGGCCAGGAGTATGGCGCAGGCCTGGTTCTCGCAGTGCTTGGGGATGTACATGCCCCTTTGGCAGAGGGTCTCGTTATTGCATACGTACCTGGAATAGAACATTTCGTGAAAGCGATTATTCAGTCTACTGAAGAGTAGAAGTGTAGTTAAATATTTTTAAATAATTTTCGAAGTGCCCTTTTCGATTTCTTTCGAAATTAAAACAATTTTAATCACTAAAAACTAAGGACTCACTCGTTGGTCCCATTGATTTTGCTGCTGCGATCCAGGAAGTTGCCCAGCAGGTCGCTGGAGATGTCGAAGGGCTGCACCATCATGGGGTCGACAAACAGCGACCAGTGCACCTCCTGGATGTCCTCGGTCCACCTGTGTTTGGCGTAGTAACCCCTCACGGGCTTGTCCAGTTCGGCGGGAATGAACCAGCCGAAACGACCCGGGGGCCCGATGGTGCCGCACTCCTCCACGAACTGCGTGGCGTAGGTGTCGTAGTCGGGACGGATCCACACTTCCAGGTTTATGGTGGCGGGCGGTTCGCTGTAAACAAGCGAATACGTATGGGGCAGATAAACAGAGCGAGTAAAATTTGGTGGTATTTTATCAGGGTATCTCGGTCGCTGTGTTAGTTCAATCAAATTAAATTTATACGTGCCAAAATGTTATTAAGACACGTAAATATTAGGAAAAATTACGTAGAATTGAATGAACTAGTTTAGTCCAGCTGAATATTATTATAAAAAAATGTTTTAGACAAAAGTTTTAGAACTTTTTATAACAAAAGTTTTGAGCCCAACCCGATATCAATTGATAATAAAATCAAATGTATTTATTAGTTATTGCAAAAAACAGCTAAAAATAGCATTTTTTTTAAAACTTCTGTATCTTTAAAACGAAAAAAGATTTTTTTACGAAACTTTCAGAATATGTAGTCCTTGGAAAGTAGAATAAGTGTAAAATTGCAAAATATTTGACAGTTTTTGAAAAATTGAGTTTTACATTTTTTTCAAGTTTCAATAAATCAATAATAATCAATAAACCATACGTGACCCACATTGGGTTTAAAATTTTCTCAACGACTTGTATTTTTCTGTGCAAATTGTGCGCGTATTGCACAATAATTTGAAATATGCGAAAAATCTACCGAAATTTTGACTTATTTTTTCGGGTCGAAAAATGTGGATATTTTTCTTATCGTTGAAATTTAATCGGAATGATATTATTGCCATTTGAAAGCTGTCATTTTTTCACGGATTTAAAAAAATGTCCTATTGAAGTAAAAGTATTCAACTACAACATGGGTAAATTGCAGACTTTAATTTAATAAGGTCGTAGCGATTAAAAAAAAAGATTTCCTCGGGTCCAGTTGGCTGTAGGACATTTTTTTTTAAATTCATGAAAAAAGGGCAGCTTTCAAATGACAAAAATTTCAACGATAAAATAAAGATTTACATTTTTCGACCTAAAAAAAGTCAAAGTTTTGGTACATTTTTTCATATATGTATTTCCAATTGTTTGATGAGTCACGTAAGTGCATTACTGTATGATTTATTGGAACTTGAAAAAAATTATCAAATATGTTGATATTTTTCAAAAATGCACTTATTTTACTTACCAAGGACTACATATTCTGAAAGCTTCGTAAAAAAATCTTTATTCGTTTTGAAGAGGTTTAAAAAAAATGCGATTTTTAGCAGTTTTTTGCAATAACTAATACATTTGTTTATCAATTGACATCGGTCTTGGTTCAAAATTTTTGTTATAAAAAGTTCTAAACCTTTTGTTTTTTTTTAAATGTTCATTTTTTTAAATGAAAAAAAAACTGTTTTTTATGAACTTTAAATACTATTTTGAAAATGAAGCCCTACATTCAGCTAAGGTAAAATAGTTGATTCAATTCTACGGAATTTTTCCTAATTTTTACGTGTCTTTGTTTACTGAACTAAATTTTGTCAAAAAAACGAGGCATTTCCGACAATTTAACTGGCCTATTAGTTGACAAACTTACTGTTAAAAGAAAATGAATTATAATTTTATATTACATTGACGTTTCGATTTATTATAACATCCTCAGGACTAGTTCTACCACATCACAGAGAAAATTTCCCATTTGTTACAACTTAGACCTTAAAACTAACTTATATAATCAAAATTTCACGGCAGTCATTAACCTATATCTTCTTGTCTAGACACATGCATGATGCTAATAAAAGAAAAAAATATAAAACAACTGAAATTGAACAGATTATCAGACACTCGCGTACTAATTTAAATAAAATTACAATTAGGGAACGTGTCAAAGCTGCCACCTGATTCATTCGACGTATACATTTGCAGGGTATATTAACGTAAGGTCTGTTTATTTTTGTAAGTGGGTGATGGTAGTGACACTTTGCACAGGATGGGACTGGCCAAGTGGGACACTAAACTGTGTTAAAATACGATTTCTCGGAAATGATTCGCAGCTGCTATTTTTAAAACGTAAAAAATTGCGGACACATGTTCTTTTAGATGCAATTATAGTTACAACAAACTTTTATTTTGTTCTTATCTTTAGATGTTTTTAATTAAAATGTTTTGTTTTAACAACTCGCATGATTAAGACGGAAATAAAATTTCAAGTAGATATTCCAAATATTCAGATAAAATGGTACTGTATATTATTACTATTGGGAACTATGTTTATTATAGTGCATGATTCCAAGTAACATATTTGGAACTGAGGCGAAATTTAATATGAGTTTTTAAATGGAATAAGTTGCTCCACAGGGCCTCCATCTTGCTTGATGCATTTAAGTAACGTTCTTCGAAGTTTCTCCAAAGATCCTCTTACAAAATCTGGATGACCAATGTTTATAGGAACTTTTTTTACTATTTTTGGCTCTACTTTCACCCCCTTAAATTTTGTACCAACTTTTCCAAACACCCTGTATATCCCCATAGAAACGTATAGCCAAAAGTGTTACAATTGCGCAAATTTTTTATCTATTTTTTTCCGTGTACGTCTTGGAAAGTAACAATTAAACATAAAAAATAGGTATTACATTACATGAAATAGTTAAGTATTTCGCCTTCGGTAATATTTTTTTAACAAAGAAAACTTGCCAGTCCGGTCCTGCGTGGTTTAAACTTAACGCCGCGGACAAATGTTTAAAACATTCGACATGAATATTCAGAAATACGGTGTTTACGTTTCAACGCGCATATTTATCACAGAACCACATTAAACAAAAATAAAAAAGCAACTTATTAGTATAAAAACAGGGGCACGACGCGGATCCGATATTTTTTTGGCTACTTTTAAACCCGACTGCGTAAGGAGTGAGTAATTTCGCTATTTCACTCGGTTGTCGACTGCCACGGAAAAAAACATATCTGTTCTAGTTAGAAGTCGATTGTAGGCGTCTCAGGTTATTAAATAGGACTTTCCTGCATATTTTTTATTAAACCGGTTCAAATTTTTTGCCTAAAAAAAACTTTTTGTCTGACAGAGTAACTCAATGAAATGAAAATGAATCGTTATTGTATTGCTACGTGGTCACGAATTCGAAGAAGGAAAAAAGCAATAAAAAGAAATCGCTACATTTCAGACACGGTAAAATATTTAAACAAATAATATATACAGAAATTGTGTAGACGGCATATATCAAATCTATATTGTAAGATGAATATAAATCATCGTCGTAGCTGATTCTTGACTGATTGTGAGTAGGAAGAACGACGAATTAAATTAGAGTTTTTAGAATTTGTTTAATAGATCTTTAAAGAAAGTTTTGCCCCTTTACTTACATCACATCTCTATGGTAATAATCTGACAACCGTTCTATGACAGGTTCAATCTGAAAATCGTCCTCTTTCATATTAATTTCTATCCTCGAGTAGCCCAGGACCTCCTTGATGAATATGTAGAACAACTGGGTACTCAGCTGGTGAGTCATTCTGCTGGAAGTCTCCAGCTTTATTGCCAACGACTTGCTCTTCAAGTGGAAATATTTCTTCGGGTTCACCTCTGAAAAAAAGTTACACTTGAAGTTCCTCGTGTGTATAGGGATGTATAATGATCTTTACTGCAAAATAGTTAATAATAACAAACATAAACATATAAATATGCCAAAATACTCGTCAAAACTGAATCCCGGCCTATTTCGACTTCAGAACCTCCCGTTATAATATAGCCCCTTAGTTAGAAAACATCATGTATACAAATTCCTTTTTAGATGGAAACAGGTTAAGGCGTGCTATGTTCTACTCCGCAATAACATATCGCATAACCTTTCCCAGGGCCTCCTCCTGCTTTGTTTTCGGCATTAGCAAAGTCCATTGGCTTTTAATTTGAACGATCGGGTTAGCCACCTTGCCGAATTCGTTTAGGTTGGTTAAAAACGTGTGTAACATTTATGTACAGCGGCTGCTGCGCTCAGGTTAAAAAAAATGTGTAAAATACGTGAAAGTTTGATTGCCATAATTTTAAAAGGAGAAAATACTCGTACAAGAATTATCAAAATCTCGATAATAATGTACGACAGTTCGATCAATTAAAAAACTTGGACATAATTTTGTGCTCAGAATACCGTGGTATAATATACTTGTGCCTATACGCATGTGGTGACGTCACTTGAGAGAAAGACTGACAATATCTTGACACATATTGGCATGAAAATGCAGCTTTCTATCGTCTATTTTAGAGCTGGCCTAAACATCTTCACATCATCCATTTTATTATGCAAAACAGATAACATTTATTGTACAAACATGAGAAAATATTTGAGGTTACATTCACATTTATACATTACTTACCTAAACTGACTTTTGAAAACACATAAATTTGGAAATTACACATACGTGTCTAATGTATCACGATTAAATTAAAAACATAACCAATATGTCATAAGTCATCATATTGGTTGTTTTGCTTTTAAGTTTGCTAGCTACTTCACAGCCATCATCGTAAGAAATTGGATCAATTTAATTACTTATTACAAAAATCATCAATACAGAAAAATTAGAAGATATATTACGTATAGGGAAGTGTAATATGGATAGATAGACAGTAGTCCATTGAAATGAAGGCTGAACCTCCATTTTTTCCTCTGTCGATCAAACCTGGGCGCAAATATGTTTTCGACCCTCAGGAATCCGAATCCGCAAAAATTTTTGACCTAGGTGGTCAGAAAAGGGGTCAAAAGGTCAAAAAATCGTAAAAAATAAGTTTTTTCGCAAATATCTCGTAAACTACGGCAAGTAGCAAAAAAATAATTGCACCATCGTGTTCCCAGGGAAATTTTACATCGATTTTATGCTATTGCTTATTAAAATTAAATAAATTTATGTCATGTTTTGGACAATTACTAAGGAAGAGAGGGGAAGTGTATATCTCCGGCGGTGAAACCTATTTGGGGACTAGTAGAGCGCGCACGCTACATGTATCGGCTGACTCGCAGTTGACAGCTCTAGCAGGTGTGCCTCTTTGGAATATAATGCGATTTCAAATATAATTAGCCTGCAGTTGTAGTGGATTTTTTTTTGCTACTTTAATTTTTAAATGAAAAACCAAAAATATTACTAATGATTAATGAATGAACAGAAAAAAATTTTTAGAATGAAATACTTATTGCAAAAATGAAATATACAGGGTGTCCCGAAATTAGGGGGTAATATTTCTACAGGGTGTTCTGTGTCGAAAAAGATTACTTTTTCTTTATATAAACGTGGGTCCAAAAATTCTTCCTAAATTTACCATAACTTTTTTGTGCGTTGACTTTTTTTAACTTTTGAAAAGTATGAAATTTCATGATTTTTTATTAAAAAAAGGTACTCTTGGTTCATATTGGTAGAATGTTCCATTTTTGTGTAAAATCCATTAAATACAGGCAATACAGCGCACAAATTTTCAAAATAGATTTGCAATAAATTTGTGAACAGGAATTTTAGGGGACCTAGCTACTTGGACCAATCCAGTTTCCCGTTTGTCTGAATACAGAAGGATACTTAAACTTTCTGCAAAATGATGTAAGAGAACTATTGGATGATACACCGTTAAACGTACGCTTAACATTACACTATCAACAACCTCTCTTTACCCATAATGTCATAAATTGGTTAAACGATAATTTTCCTTTCAAGTGGATAGGTAGAGGTGGTCCCATTCCATGGCCACCTCGGTCTCTAGACCTATATCCTCTAGATTACTTTCTGTGGGGTAGGTTGAAGGCTGTAGTTTATGCTACAGAAATAAATCATTTGGAAGAATTACAACAGAGGATTCATTTATTTGGCTGCAAATAATTTGTTTTTTTTTTACTTTGTCAAATAATCATTTACTAAAGATTCGAGAATTTTTATGAAGATAACAATTCACAAAAACTAAATAACTGAACTGTCAATGCAAATAACGTCAAACGCATATTTGTTATTCAAAATCTGCGATATTGACAATTTCAATTCCCGATGATTAACACATATAACATTATTTTTAAACGGATTTTACACAAAAATGGAACATTCTACCAATATGAACCAAGAGTACCTTTTTTTAATAAAAAATCATGAAATTTCATACTTTTCAAAAGTTAAAAAAAGTCAACGCACAAAAAAGTTATGGTAAATTTAGGAAGAATTTTTGGACCCACGTTTATATAAAGAAAAAGTAATCTTTTTCGACACAGAACACCCTGTAGAAATATTACCCCCTAATTTCGGGACACCCTGTATATTTCATTTTTGCAATAAGTATTTCATTCTAAAAATTTTTTTCTGTTCATTCATTAATCATTAGTAATATTTTTGGTTTTTCATTTAAAAATTAAAGTAGCAAAAAAAAATCCACTACAACTGCAGGCTAATTATATTTGAAATCGCATTATATTCCAAAGAGGCACACCTGCTAGAGCTGTCAACTGCGAGTCAGCCGATACATGTAGCGTGCGCGCTCTACTAGTCCCCAAATAGGTTTCACCGCCGGAGATATACACTTCCCCTCTCTTCCTTAGTAATTGTCCAAAACATGACATAAATTTATTTAATTTTAATAAGCAATAGCATAAAATCGATGTAAAATTTCCCTGGGAACACGATGGTGCAATTATTTTTTTGCTACTTGCCGTAGTTTACGAGATATTTGCAAAAACCTTATTTTTTACGGTTTTTTGACCGTTTGACCCCTTTCTTGACCACCTAGGTCAAAAATTTTTGCGGATTCGGATTCCTGAGGGTCGAAAACATATTTGCGCCCAGGTTTGATCGACAGAGGAAAAAATGGAGGTTCAGCCTTCATTTCAATGAACTACAGTAAAATTCTACAACAGTTTTTGATTAAATATAGAGGGTGTTCCATTTAGAAAAATTAAGCAAATTCGACAATAAATTTTCACCCCGAGTAAAATTTAACAGTTTTTAAAATAACTATAACAAAGGATAGGCATCTCCCTGTCTCTCTTTCAAATATCAATAAACATTTCAGCTTACATGAGGCATTTTTGAATTAAGCTATCGAAGACCAACTTTTTTTGAAATCATTGAAATATCTCGATAGATCTAAAAATCTAAAAATTAAAAATCTAAACCCTTAAAAAGTATCTCCTTACTAAGGAATTCGTTATTTCTATTATTCACCCATTCAAAAATAAAACAGCAATTGTCTTTTAATTTTCTCAATTTATTAATTTTCACAATAGTTGTTTACCTTTGGATTTTTGTCGCTCACCATAAAGAAAAGGTTTAGTGTGCGCGATGGTCAGCTGTCCTAGAATTTGTTCAAGTGAATCGACTCGCGCTGTTGCCAAGTTGTGATATTCATGCAATTTGCGACTTTTTTTGTTCATTTATGCTTAATTTATCTTTTGTTGAAGTAATGGTAGTCGAGCTTCTAACACACTATAAAATTAAATTTTCGAGAATATTATGTTCATGCACCGAAATTATTTATTCTACGAGAAAACCGTATAGCTTCTTTGAAACTACCTCTTATTATAAAACTGACGAGCCGCTGCTGTTTAGATGAGGAGCAGAGAGTTGTTGTTATTTCTGTCCATAGCAATAAATAAATAAAAGCTACGAGCCAAACAAGTTAATAAAGATTGCCTTCGTAGTTGGTAGCTTGAAATGCATCGGCACTAATTATGACGATTAAACACAGGAACGTATCGGACTATAAATTAGACTAGTTTCATATATCGTATTTCTTAAATAGTTTTCCTCTCTCATTGATTTGCATTATCCTTCTCTCAGACATCTCGGTCAAAAATGTGTTTGAAAGTACGCTAATTCTTTTAACAATTTGTTAGTTTATTTAAAAACAATCATACTAGCGTATTCTCTATGTTACACACTTCCATGTTGAAAAATCCGGTCCTGTCCGATTATTATTCTGGAAAACACGTTGTTGATGAATTTGTTTTTGTACCTTATAAATAAACAAACTAATTTAGTTTTATAGGAACAATATGCATACCGACAAAGAAGCATTTAGTTTTGTGCACGATAGAAAAAATATGTCGATGACTTCTTTGCAAATTTCATTAAGTATACAGGATGTTCTGGAAAAAGTGCCGCATAATCAGGGACATAAAAAAATGATTTTTTTTCCCTATGGGCCTACAGACTTTTGTTTGAGATATAGGACGTCAAAGATACTTTAAACCCGTTTTTTTCACGAAACGGCTTCCGTGGTGCTAGATACCTACCTGGTATATCCAGACATTTTTCGTTGTCATCGTAAGCGGCCACCAAAATGGAACAGAGGAGGTGGCCTGCCAACAGCCACCAGATATTCATCCTGTGGCGTCTGCAACATAAAAGAGAATTTTTAGAAAAAATATTCGTTTATAGCCGACCTAAATAAAACCTTTTAAATATCAATTTCTATAATTTTCAAACTGAAAGAGTATCGTTGTGATATTCTTATTGCATGCTACGAAAAGCTTTCGTGGAATAAATACAACGGCATTGTACGTTCCTATACTCCACAGTCGAAATTATAGAGAGTGATTCATCGCTAGCTTTTGGACTAGTAAGGGGAATGAAGCGTGCCGGGAACGAAAATTCATTATCGTGTCTGCGTAAAAGGCAACAAGATATAGAAAATATTAAAAAAAGATAATAAAACATAACATCTAATATTTTTTACGGTTTGCTATAACAGGCACTTTGATCCATTTTAATTATTACAGCATTTTAAAACGTCCCAATTGTGTTTTTTTAATTTATAAATTTATTATAGCCATGGAATTAGACCCCTCGTCTACGCTTATGCTATGACGTTTCTTAGGACGGGTTAAATCAAGTCCGTTTACACCCACTAAAAAAGTATTTCCCTATTCCCTGGCAAGTGCAAAAGACAGAGATAGAATATAGATTGACGTTCAGTGTAACTCGGTCTCTAGACGATTATAGATTATATCGATGTGCATTGTGAGCGGCACAAAGATAAATAATATTGAACCGTATAAAAATCAGTTTATATTTTATACGCATTATGGTAATAGTGTTTTTATATTATGTCTTAGTCACTCTTTATAATTTCGACCGCGGAGTATAGTTAATGAATGATGTGCAATTAATTCACATCTGTACTAGCCTCAATTAATCTACAACCTCGATAAGCATGTGCAGTTCTGAATAACGTTTTGTTTAAAAAATAGGTTTCCTTATATGGAGTGGTTTAGATACATGTTAAGTTAAAACCTTTTTATATACGAGAAAGGAAAAAATATAACAATGAAACGGACGGAAATAAATTGAAAATTTCTTAATATTATGCATTTGTTTTGCTGCGTAAAAATCAGCTGTTGTTTTTATGTCGGTAGTTATTATTAAAATGTGTAGGAAATAAAAACGTATATTCTTCGTCAAACACGTTTGTCTCGAAAATAAGTCATTTTGTGAATAGCAAACAACTATACATTTCTACCATAACAGTCAGTCATAACAAAATGAAAGTCTCAAAAACGATAGAAATTTCAAAAAGTCGATTCATCATTTTGAGGCGGTGTTCTAAATAAATATCGGTAAATAGAATACTTTTGTTGAAATTTAGCTTTTAGCAAACATTTGGAAAATTTTGTTTTCAATATGAAGAGGAGAAACTGTAATAAAAACAATTCGAAACTCTATAGCAAAACAGTTACAATACATGAAATATATATAAATGAATTTAAGTTCAATCGATTTTCCGATGTAAAATTTGTTGTCGGCAGAAATGCGAAGAAAATTAAAAAACAATCCCTTAAAAAGAAAAGCTGGCTCCTCATCACTAATTTTTTCACATTGCTTCACATGAATTAGTACGGAGAGAAGGATTTTCTACTAGCATTCAATTCTTCAAAGAAGAAACTGATAATTTGGGAAACCTAACAGACTGCATTGAAAATAACCGAATCTTCTTTAAAACTACATAATGTTTCAAAACGTTGGCAGATAGTAATTGATTCATTTACAAATTTGGACAATCAAGTACGTCCTGTTCTCTCTAAAAGAATCTGATTAAATCCAAACTGGAAGGAGAGAAAATCAAGGGAGTGCTGCAGAAATGTCCAGTTAGAAAGAATAATATATTTTTGTGTATAAATAAAATAATTAAAATCATGCTGCAAGAGCGACTTCTGTCTCAAATTTGGCTAAAAAGGGGTTGAAGAACAACAATTTATTAAAATTACAGGGCACAGTAACAGCCAATCAATCATTACATTTAGATGTGGATGATAGAAACCATGAAAAATACTGTACCTAAAACCAGTAAGTTCAATCAAGACCAAAATATATCAGATGATAGATAACACTAAGAAAATGACAAGGTGCAAACCTTTAACTCAAACCAATCTATTTGCAATAACTGTGTTTTTAATGTTACTGATAATTAGCAATTCGTACTTTTGTATCAATATTTGTTTATTGTTCGAATTATATTATGTAATAATTTTTTATAATATTATTAAAAACATTATCAGCAAAGTTACTCATTTTATTTGCCCGAAATAATAAAACGTAAGATGTAGGTATTTTTCTACGTATAACACAAATAAAATTAGCGATTAGGAAGAAAAAACAAAATGACAATTATTTTAGTTTAAATTGTATTTGAAAATTATGAGGAGCTTAATATGTAATTTGTACAGGGTGTCCCCGAATAGTATGTAAAAAATTCTACCACAAATTCTCGAGGTGAAAATAGATCGATTTGCCTTATCTTACCTTAGTACAAAAGTTGATAACGACGGATACAGGGCATAAAAGTAATATAAATGAAACCGGTGATTATTTTGAACATTTACTTAAAGTGTTTTTGTCTAATTAATAAAATTCACATATTTTCAATTTTGTTTTATTGCTTGTTTAGCAGTTTGTTGGATTTCGCCCTAATAAAGCAATTTTCTGGCAAAGGGTCTATGGGAAATGTGAGGAAGTAATTTCAAAAGCATGTAAAGAATTTGTAGCTCGATATCCAGAAAAACGAAGACCTTCGCGAAATACATGAAGGCAATTTCGAGCAAATTCTCTACATGTTCTTGAAATTACTTTGTCACATTGTCCATAAATAACAAACAAGTTAAGAATAAATAATCCTCCTTAGTATAATTTAAACGATCCCCAGGCACCTTTATTTAAATTTTCGTCAAAAATTATTACAGACACAACAATAATTTGACAACTAACTTGACAAAAATGTCAAGTTAATTGAATTGTTTTTGGAATATTTCTGGTCATGGCCAATTTGATAACAGATCTAATACAAGAAGAACTGTCAAAAAAATAGGAAATTGCAAATATCCCTAAAAGTAGTAACGGCAACCCTAACAATGCTTAAGTATATAGCTAGAAAGGAAATTTCAACCTGCATACTATGGAGTAATAAAAATACAGGGTATTCCAGATAACACAGATAACAGATAATAAGATAAGATAAGATAACACAGTTACAGCTGTTTGAAGTTATTAAAATGTAACGGCAAAAATGAACCACCTAGTATTAAATGTTGATATACCATGATTTACCTTTACAGGTACCAAAAATCGACTTGATATCACGCTCCTGATAAGAGTTACTAGCACCTCCACGGACCCTTGCATCTGTAAAATGTTTTCTTTGAAAATTAATATCTCAAAATCTGTAACTCCTAAGTATAGAGAATGTTTAACAAAGTGATTCTCAAATTTCACGTAAAATCCGAAAATGTAATAATATATAGGGTGACCCATTTAAAATAAGAAAGTTAATGTCGAATTCAGGTATAACCGGAAATGCCATAAAGTTCTAAATATTTTAACTGTGTTAGCTTGCCCTACTGTCTTTGCAAGGTTGCCAAATTTTCAGATATATCGGTCAGTACTTTCCGAGATATCGATTCCTGGTGGGACACTCTGTATATCGATTTGTAAATTTACGTTTTGAGTGATTTACGGAAAAAATATAAAATTATGTGCATTAATGTAACATGTTTAAGGTAATTTTACATTACTTGATGTGGTGTCAAATTTACCAATGATATAGCGTGATTTTACATAAAATGAGTGCACTTTCCTTGGGAAGGTTTTATTGTATTTTCAAGTACCTTATATTTTAAAATTATCACACCGCACACTTATATTTATAACGCAGAATCGGTACGTACGCGAGATCGTTGTTCGACTGAAGAAAGGAAGAGGGAGTCACTTTCATTAATTTTACCAGCTGGCGACGACTCCGGGGACTCCCGTCCCGTCAGTTCCTATTTAATCACGATATCAATCTGCCCCTGGTTACGCCGCTAATCGTGTGGTATACGATCTCGCATCTGGCGGTCTACGCAAAGCAGGGCTAATCCACTACCTTCGGTGGCAGCGGCGTATCAGGGCTTGCCAGACCTAATTACTGGAATGTATACTGTATAATTCCTTAAGGATGGAAACTGATGCATCTCTGGTTGCCTAAATTATACCGAAAAATGGTAGAAAACAGCCTTTTTTTATTCCAATATATCTTTTTAAAGCAATGGAAGAAAGTAGTAAAATTTCATATCACATTTGGCAAAGTATAAATGAAGACAGTAAAGCAAAAATTAATTGGGATAGGTAAATAATTCGTGAGAAATTAATTTCTAAATATGAAGGTTTTTTGGACTTTTACATAGTAACGATTATTTCTTCATAGTATTATAGAATTATGCAATTTTTTATATAGTTGTCTTTTAATAAATAAACTGATTAGACTTTATTTCATAGTTTGTTCAACACTTTATTATTTAAAAAGTTATATTGGAATAAAATTATTAAAAAATATTCATTCATAAATAGTATTATGTCTGACCTTTAATTCGCTTGATTTGTAATAGATGTCGCATTAGTAAAAATTTATTTTTGAATGGACTCGGGTTATTTTAACCAACAGCTGTTGTATTGTGGTTAATTTGGTATAACCTGATTCTGAATTGGTAGTCATGGTTTCTGTTAATTGATACGTAAATATTTAAAGAATGTCATGATCATTTTAGATATATTATTGTATAAAAGTATATAAGTAACAGTGCAAGTCCATACTATTATATAATTTTAGAAAATATGAAATATAAACAATTTATTTTTAGTTTATTTAAAACCATAATTTTAATAACTACGGTTAGTGGATAAGAGGGAAAACATTTTTATTTTCAATTCTACTAGAAAAAGTAATTCGTGACAAAAAATATTTTGCTTTTTAATTGAATATGGTTGTCATGAAAAACTGTAATTTATATATATATATACAGGGTGATCAGAAATTTAACAAAATTAATAACGTTGAAAAAAATAAACTGCTTTTGTTTTTGATAA